GGTAGGGAGGCCCTGGCCCGGGACTTGCCACCTTGGGGAGCAGGCGGAGGGGGAGGCGCAGGGGGAGGCTGAGCTGGAAGGCGGGTTCCAGACAGTCAGCGCAGGAGCTGGTGGAGGGACACGGGCTCTGCTGAGATCCAGGCAAAGGCGCGGCAGAGTCCACAGGACCTGGGCCCCGGCGTGGTGCTCCCCAGGTCGCGTGGGAGTCATGACAGGGCCTGGGTGCAGGCGAGGGGACCGCGTGAAGGGATTGTCCCTGCAGCCAGCACAGGCTCAGGCCGGCTCGACCCCCTGCGGTGGACGCCCAGTCACCTGCACTCAATGGCCAGTGGCTCAGGAACGGGGGACCCCAGATGTGGGGCAAGCAGGGCACCTTCCACAGCGGGCCACCTGGTCTCCCAAACGGGGTGAGACGAGAGTCGGGGGCCCTTCCGGCCGGATGCCCGGCGTGGCGCTGGCCGTGGCGCTGGCTGAGGTGCCAGCGGGTCGGGGGCTCTGGATGAACATGTGCTGTGGCCGCCTCACGTGCGTGGCGACTCCCCATGCAGTGGGGAGCGCTCTGCAGACCACAGGCAGGGCAGGGCCCGACTTGCCCAGGTGTTCCATTCATTTACAATTTTGAAAAGTTTCCCTAAGAAGAGAACAGGCAGGGTGTGTGTCAATCTAAGAAAATAATAGGGAACGGCCTCTGCTTGGCCTGTGATTTTGATGCCTTTTTTTAAAAAAATATATTTTATTGATTTTTTACAGAGAGGAAGGGAGAGGGATAGAGAGTTAGAAACATCGATGAGAGAGAAACATCGATCAGCTGCCTCCTGCACACTCCCTACTGGGTATGTGCCCGCAACCAAGGTACATGCCCTTGACCGGAATCGAACCTGGGACCCTTCAGTCCGCAAGCCAACGCTCTATCCACTGAGCCAAACTGGTTAGGGCATTGGCCTGTGATTTTGGTAAAAAGATAAGAAAAATGTGCCATTGGGTGGTGGCCTGTCCTGGCTGCA